GCTTAATGTAGAACACTAAGGGCCGATTTCACCAACATTAATATTATGGACCAATGGGAAAATACCTTATCGTAATGCAATTTGACACAAGCTGTCAAAGGTCTCAGAATATCAGTGATTTCTATTAAAATATTTAATAAAATTGTATAAATTCGACTTTATTATAAACAAGACCACTTCTTGATTCCAACATGATGCTTTTGAAAAGAGAAAACAGGTCAACTTTCATGTATTTTGATTTGTGTTATAAATTTACATTTAACAATCAGTTCTCCCCAAAAGCCAATGGGAATGCGGCAAATAATAGGTCGATTTTCTAGCTGTTAAATTTGGCAGCAGATTTGGACGTTTCTTAATGCATAGCAATCTCGAATTCAAGTTCAATATCCTGTTATCATTACATACCTATTGAATAGTGTGGATTTGTCTGTATTTTGGAAGAAAATAGAATATAAAATACATTCCATCCAATTCTTCATATTCCTTTACATCATAATAGTAATCATTTATTAATGTACGGGTTAATGAATTTCTTTAAAGCAATAAAAACATTATATCCTCTCCATCCTAAAACACAGATAATATGTGTAAGACGTGTCAATCCCTACATCTCCCTGATACATAATGCAATTACTATGGACATACACAACAAATTATGAAAAATGTTTCACAAATAATGTCTTTTAAGTCCAAAAATCATAAAAACTAGTAATGTTTATTGTTTGTCTTTTTGACTGGCGAAGATATCTATCTGTCACTCGCAGGGTTGCCAAGTCTAACGACGATCACGTCCTGTGATGAAGGGTGCGTCATGAATCTTTTACATTTGTTGGTTTTGAATTTAAAGTAGGAATACAAACATAGTACTTATGATAGTTGGAGCTAGACTGTTAACACTTCTTGAAGAATATTTGAAAAATGTGAACACCGTCATGGTCTGTTGTCAAACTGCAAATGAAGTATCTGAAAATTTTTACATACAGTGGACCTTCGTCATAGTTTACTATCCTCATTATGATCATTTGTAGCAGATGTGTTGTATCATCAAATTGATGAACAAATATAAGAAAGCTCTTACATACCTACATACAGAGGATTTTTCATGTAAATTTACTGGGTATCATGATTATAAGCATCTTTGGTGGATTGTTCGATCCGGAATGGGAAAGATCTCCTATTTATAAAAATATTTTTGGTATCATCTAACCGTTGCAATCAGTGCACAAAAACTGTGACATATGATTTATAGCATAACCCGCTGCCCTATCAATACAAATTTAACATACAGGTCGCCTAGCCGTGGGGATGCAGTGGTCGGGATGAATATCACGGCAGCAACTGATGATTTGGGCATGTCTGGTAACAACGTATGAAGTGAAACTCGCTAACTTCACAAATTTGAAGGTTTTGTACAATTTCTTTGAAAATGATGAAAGATATGTATGATTTGGCAGGGTAATGTCGCAGGCAAATGGCAGTCACTCTTTCTGACACAGTCCGGATCGAAAGATGATGATACTCGTGAAATGTATTGATATTTCTAAATATAGGATCGTATAGAACATCCCTACTGTCAAGATGTATAACCCAAGGTACCGACGGAGCTATTTTGCGGAGTCATGGAAATAATTTTTAATTTTCATTTGCATTTTTTCAAGTGTTGTGCAATGATTTTGGGAACAATGTCACGAATATTCTTATAAAGCATAGTAGAGTATATTTGAACAGTTGGCGGAACTTACTCCACTGGGACCAGGAGGGTAAAAGAGGATATTAATGCACAATCTAGCAACCCCACACAAAATGGCCGCTGACAACCACACAAGTCACCGTGTTGTCATTGATTAGCATGGAATTAAACCTTCAGAGTATATGTTTTGTCACTGGTACCAAGAGTTGACAGATCCCACACATGCGTCACTCCTTGAAATGCAATAATCAGCTGTATTCAAATAATGTCTAATATAAATATAACCTAGAATGTGTACTTGTGAAAAAAGAAAAATACGGCAAATTTGTAGTTTTTTGCAGGTTTTAGGTTTGCTAGTAGCTTTAAGGCATGTATTTGGGAATTTCTTAGTCGCTGTGAATATAGTGTGGATGTTTGTTCAGTTCCTGAACAACGAAAAATATTCAACTTTATGGATGTATGGATATCAAAAAACCTTAATGGTTTTGTGGGAATATCAATCTAAGGTGCCATAATGGTTCTGATGAACGGCAGGTAAATGAATGAATGTTTGGAAACGAGCAACATCTTTTGGTAGAGCCTATCATCAAGTAGGTGCTTAATGGCTATCTGCAAGAGGTTTACGTGAAAAAACACCCAGTATCACATATCAATTGAAGAAAATAATATAAACATGAATAAAAAATCAACAATGGTAATTAAAACATGAATTTAATTCAAAAATTTCTTAAAATTTTGACTGAATTATATGTAATTTCTTAATATTCAATAAGATGGTGATGTTGCAATGACAAGTTGTCATCTCATACTTTGACAGAATTTTGTTTTCAACATTTCATAGCTATTGATTTGCTAAAACTTGAAGCTCATTCGCTGTATCTGACGGTCTGTTACCCTACAGGTGGAGAATAGCGGACTGTTGTTGGTGAAATTGATCTTTAGGATAACAAAGAGCTGTAGAATTAGCACAAAAAAGGACTACTTCACAGTCTAGTTTTTGAATGGTGTGCGGAAATGCACAAAATAATAAATTTTCTTCCGTGTTCTTTTCTGTTTTTGTCTGTTTTTAAGTATGTTTGACGGTCAGTATCAAAACAAGTTTTTCAATAATCGCTAGGACAACATGTCATCGTTCAAATGACGCCAAATTTATCATTCTGTGACAATTACGTACTCAGTTATTACAATTTTCATACATGCACTACCGGAATCGTAACGTAAAAATAAAAATGGCTACCATTTCAAGGAGATGAGGTAAGATAGCTGAAAAATGCCCCTCTTAAATATCGGTATGTCGAGACCAAACACATTGTATTTACGGTATATAAAATCTGCAGTTTTTCTGCTAGACACAAAATAACCTCGTCAATATTCATCTAGCAGAAAATCGAAATCAGCGAACGATGTCCTTATTTTCAGAAACCTCTGACTTGTGACGGATGAGCAAAATTTGTGTCGATAGTCGGCATTCAGTATGTATTCATTGTCGTGTGTACTCGTACCATTGCTTAACAAGTTCTATCAGTCAGATTACGATAATCAATATTATTACGGCTATTTGGCAACGAATAAGCATTCTTTTTGCAAGACCAAATAAAAACGTAAGATTTTGCCTGAGTTGTATTTCAAGTTGCGCATATTTAAAATGCAATGGGACATTTCGATAATATGTGTTTGAATATACATACCTATTTATGCGTATGACGACATAAAGTCAAGGCCTAAATGCTAAGTTACCCAATATTAATAAAGTATAAGAGCTAGTTGATGGGATAATCTTAGAATCGTCGCTCATTTTTGTCTATCCACATACAATATAGATTTAAAATTTCTCTTTTTTCTACGACAATTCGGTCCCAACGGCGACCTTTTTCAAGTACAATTCTCACTTTGAACAACATATTTTGTTGATCTGTCTTCCAGGTGAAACTTCTTTTGTTTTTTCTTTCATTTATCTATTCCTATGCAGTGTGTTACTACAATAGGCCATTCCCAAAAGGACGTCCAGCCCTCCACACATCGTACTGGTCTCAAAAAAGCCAAAAATCACATGAAAACGCGAAAACTCACCCAGAACTGTTGTTGTAACGTATCAGTTAATTGTTATACATTATTTGACCACAGATACCGCTTGTGCATTATCTACGGATCTGCTATGCGAGAAATAGTACATGGGCGTCTAAAAGGTTTATCCGTTTATCCTGCGAGGAATAATATAAGACACAACCGTTTTTCCTTGAGAAGACGAAGTAAAACATCTGCGCATTTCAGATCCAAGGACAAATCAGGAAAAACCTGGAAGTAAAAACTCATGGTCCATCAATTAGGCTGAAGAATATTAATTAGATATTTCCTTCAGGGATACTCAACCAATTTGTATCCAGAAAAGAACAAAAAAGACAACTATTGCTTAATTTGATATAGGCTTTCCTTTTGTAATTGCTATCCCCTTTGTGTAATATACTCTCGTTTTACCATCTGCCCTATTTTCAATACGTGTTAGTGCTGATTTTGAAGTTTTTAATTGCTATATAGCATTTACGTTACTTAATTCTACATCCAACTGGTCACCGTTGTAGCATTATATACTGAAAGGGGCCAACTGAAACTAGCTCTAAATCTCATCTACTTGAGTTTTGAATCTAAAGGTGCTTGAGAAAGATCTTTGCCTTCATGTTCTATGTAGTAATTTTACGTTCTCATTTTAGTGCTGACAGATTCTGTCAAGGAGGCACAGTAGGCTCTGAAAGAACTATAAAAATCAAATTAAATATACAACTTAAAACAAGCTTGTTAATGATATGATAGGAGTAATTTCCATTCTATACCTAACTAGATATTTGCCTTTAGCCAAGAATCCGGATTTCTGCTATGCTGGGTGTAAGAGCACCCAGTACGATTGGCTATATCTTCTTCAGAGAGAGAAATATACGCTGAAGCAGAAGGTCCCACTAAAACTACACCCTTTTGGTGACAAACAATGCAATGCGCAATGTGTCTTGGCTCCTAATCTAATTCGTTGGTGAGGCCAGCTTCGAGGCGGAAAGAGCTAAGCAATCTAAACTATTTAGCCTTCAATGAGAACAATGGATCTTGCCAGACTACATTTAATCGCTTCGACCTCTGTGAAGCCTGATGTATTGGCCATATTGGCAGCTATCAAATATTCATGCTGTTAGTACACACCACACCACACTCCATTGTTAACAGAACCTGAAAGACACACCTTGAAGGCTAAAGTCCACACCGCGATAAAGCGTCTTTATATGGCGAAAGCATCACCCAACTCAACACACTCGTGAACGTTCACCTGACGACAGTGCACTCTTTCCAGTCAACAGATTAGAGTCGGATCCCACTTTGGGCTTCAGTCTTACACCCGCAGAATTGAAAGTCCTGCCGGACACATCGAAATCGAACGAGGAGGGTTTGTCGCGACCCGCGCTCCTCGGACTGGAGGACTGCGCGCGAAAGAACCGGAGCACTGGCGACTTTTCGCGCTTCACTGGGGGTTTCTCGCACCGCACATTCTCGCACCGGTCACTGCGGGTGTTGATGATGTCGCTCCTGGGGATCTCCACCCTGAGGTGTTCCGATGAAGGGGAGGGTCCCGGAGGAGGCCTCTCCCGCTTCCTCTCCGGACGTACCGGAGTATGTTCCGGGGTGCTCAGGGTGGATCGGAACGAATTACTGCTCAGCTTGTCAATTTTTGGGGCTGTCTTTATCGTCCTTGTGTCTGAGAATGTCCTTGGTCGGACTGTTGATGATGAGGCTTCCACTGCAAGCTTTTCCTTGCTAGCTCCAGTTTGGCTGCGGGACTTTGATGAACCCGAGCTCTGTTTGCTTGATTTGCTAGACTTGTTGCTTCCTGTACTTAAAACGCCTTCTGGGGTTCTGGTAGTCTTTGACCGCTCCAATGACCTGGGGTTTAAGGAACTTAGACTTGTTGCATTTACAACTGCAATTCTGATTATTTTTTGGAAAGTACGTTACATCAAACGTTTCTTAAGCGAACGCTTTTGTATATGAATTTATTATTGTTATATTAGGTAATGTTTTTCGGAATTAAGGATGCGATAAAAACATGGACCACATGTATCTAGATTGTCTGAGAGTTCTATAAGTAAAATGTCCCATGGGACTTCTTTATGCAGATGCGAGCTTCCAAAAAACGCTACTGAAAATCGGTTTCTCTTAACTGGTGAACGACGCTGTGAAGTTCACAAAAACTGACGTAAGTAGGTTGACTTTTCACTTCTTCAGCAACGCCGTCATCGGTTAGCGCAATTTAAATCCACCGAGAAAAGTCCAGCTACGACCATGTACAACAGAGAAATTGAACATCAAATACCGGTAGTTACTGTCCATCTGGTAGTGGTGCTCGTTTCCACGTCTGCGGTATACCAGGCAGGGAGCTTACACAGCAGGAGTACGTGGATGGAAAACTTTTCTCTATCATCATCGAGTTTCAACGGCATTTGTACTGCAAAATCTATGATTTGTGAAATATCACATGGGTAAACAGTGCAGATAATTGCCAGACTTGGGAACGTATAAAAAATTATATATAGCCCCCCGAATTTGAACCAGACCAATTTTCAAAAACTGAAGAGCTCTTTCGTTCTTGGCATAGTAGTGACCTTGTATAGGAATTTCAACGAAACCTTGTGGTACTTCCCAAATTATAGGCGGTCTAATGATTAGCGGGCAGACAGACAGACAAACAGACCGACGAAAATGACTAACGTGATTTTTCGTGATGTACATGTCATCTCATTTTCGAAATTTTTCATGATTGCTTCGTTGCCCCGTGGCGTAGGAAGGAAAAATTGAATGCATAGTAACGAGCTGGGGCCTCATAGCATGCTATCCACAGAAAATAAGTGACTCGTTTAAGTCGCTAGGAACGGACTACTCATGAAACAACATTGCTAATGTTACAGCACGCTGCGATTCAATGGCTCAAAAATGAAATGTTTATAAATCATTTTGTATTGACTGAAACACTGATATCGATGAAATAAACCACCTTTGAGAAAATTTGTATCTTGAAATATAATAATTCTGATAACAGATTCGTGTTAAGCAACCCACAAACAGGCCAGGATATAAATTTATGGATCTCTTAATCAAGCTTAAATTTTTTGTAGATCTTCTATAATCGGCAGAAACGACTCCGGGCCATTTTAATGCACGTTGTAAGAATTAGCTATATTGCTCATCTCTGGCGATCTAAATGTGTTGCTTCTCTTGAACAGTATGGACATGATGTGCACTTTCTATGCTGTGGAAATGTTTTTGAATTATACACTCACATTCGTAAAGTTGTTAAGTAGAACCGATTTCCAGTGTGATCCTTTATGCGTCTGCATCTCAGTGGGAGAGTTTCGCAGTCATTCCTCTGTGTAAACTCTGCTTTTTCTTTGTTCCTCATCATCTGATAAATTGACCACTTTTTCTGATATTCTAGTTTACTTTAAACAATGTCGAATTGTCTTCTACGAGTAGACGATCTCGATTCCTAAATGATTCAAGCACAATTGGATTGTAGGCAGTCGGGCTTTGGATATAGGTCACATAAAACTTATCGTTCGATAAAATGTGAGCTTTATGATGTGCCGCTTGATGCACCAGAAATAACCAAATATAAAATGTCAATATGGTTTTATCACCCTGTGGTGCAATGTAAATGACGAATTTACATACTAGTATTTACCGGAAATACCGATTGAGCTTTGTTGCCACTAAAATATTAGTTTGTAATGTACCATCATAATTATTTTATATATAATGGAAAACGCGATACAGAAATAAATGTAATATAAGCTGTACAATAATATGAGCAATGTATATGCTTTATATTTTACCTACAGTGGGGTAATTTAACTGAAAATTGATATCTAACCGTAGTTCCAACTCAAGAACTCGTATGATTTTATTCAAATAAATATTTAAGTGATATCTCAGTTTTAGTTGGATGCCTTGACCAATATGGGATCCCACCCAGAGTTTCCATCTCTTGGCACTATATCTGGCCGGACATTTTGCCGTCAAAGGCGAACCTGATTTTCTTTAACATCAAGTGTAGATGCAGCGTTTATGTAAGAAAGGTTGCATGATTCATGTTCAGGAAGATGTTTGTCTCGGAGAAAGGGAGATTGCTGCGATTGAAAATTGAAGAGCGGATGCCTTTGTGATAGTTGAGGAGAGATAGTTTTTTATAAAGCCGACAAGTTCAGCAAACTCAACCAATTCGTTCCTCCGTGATTGAAAGGCCGGATACACAAAGATTTGTCCAGACAGGACCGAAAAAAAACTCACAGATGGGAAACCTATTCCAATTCTAAAATGAAGTTTTCACCAAATATTCCTATATTAATCGTAATGCATAATCAGAATTGCAGATAGCTTTATGGCATTTGATTGTTGAACTGGTAAAGAGTTGGCTACAGTGTGAAAACATGCATGTAAGGGCTTAATTGGTACCAATAAGTCGCAAAAGCGGCAGAGGCTAAATGAGTGGAAGAGCAGTTAGCGATCCATAAGGTCCAATCGTTTGATACTTTTAGCTGGAAAGTTTTCTGTAAATTAAAATTTCATACCGTTGGGGATTTCAGCGTGCATCAAGTTGTATTTTACCAACGAATTCAGACTAGATAGAAGGGGCCAGTCAAGGATGTCTTTGTCTCCTTACTCTCATAGTCTGTAGTGAGGATCAAAGTCTCTTGAAATAAGTAATTCTTTTGAGAATTCTGTCATTAAATTCGTATTTTTAGAGTTATTTTTCGATTATGCGAGTATTTGCAGATAAATGCTGTGTTAGATGATTGCTGTACATTATATTTGTTGCAGAACTTGCAAACTGCGCAATTTAGGCTAGAAGCAATGCAATGTAAACAAATATGCTTGGCTCCTTCTGATATAATCGAATTTGTTGGTACTTTACTAACTGATGCAGTATATCAATACGTGGTGGCATACTAATATTAAGATGGCACAAAATCGTATGGAGCACTTTTTCAATAGCAAGCTTACATACTTACAATAACGCAACATAAAACAAAATCAAATAACGAAAAACTTTTTCATTATTTTTTTGTCAATTCGTGTCCTATATTTTTACTTTGAACAGTATCTGCTAATACCTGTTTAAATATCGAACAAAGACTAGCAAAGTAGGTCCCCTTCTGTAGACAAGCACTAAGCTAGAAAAGAGTATCATAATGCATCGTACTATATACTATATATAAGAAAGTTGCAATCGATTCTGTTTCAAACAACTGATTCAAATTATACTTTATGGACAGACTACTGAATTTAAGAGTTCGTCGATTCGGACCTAACAAACAAGGTGAGACATCGCTTCAATTTAAACCAATCTTAAGAGCCTCTTCAAGGTCTTGTAGAGCAAGGCTGTAACTTGAACTTTATACTTTGTTACCTCAAAAACTTTAAACCGAGTTTTTGAGCATTGAATATACCGCACGGTTACTGAAACCCAATTTGTTTAAACCAGCGTCTTGGATAAACTAGAATTTGTTTCGCCTGGACAATTTTTTTAATGTTTTTTTTTTTAATATGAACTAAAAAAGCTACTGGTAAGGTTCGCGAGTTAATGTCTGAAAGCTCCTAAGAATGGATAGATTCAATGCTTCCAGACTCGGTTAAAAATTATAGTTTTTGATGTACCCAAGTATCTAAAGTAATGTTTAAGTCGCGCTGTACAAGACCTCAAAGAGTATTTTGAGATAACTTCATTTTAAAGCGATTTTTAACCTTGTTTCTCAGGCCAAGACTGGAGCACCTTTGATTTTCGCAAAGATGTTTGATGCAAAAGAAGTTAACTATGTTCTTGATTCTGCAAATGATTCATTTTGCTGGTACCAGTTAAACACTTTCCAATGTAGGTTAAAGTATCAAGTATTTTAAAAAAACTTTTAGCGCATTTTACAACAAAAATATATTCTTGATGGTATATGAAAAGGTTCTTCATCCAGAGATACAAAACAGTTTGTTGAGCAATTTTGTAATAACCGTCACAATTGAATAAAATAACCTTTTTTCTATACAACAAAAAAACTAAGGTATGAAACGCTTTTAGAGTGAAGCACCTTCAAAATTACACGTTATACACGCAATTTGCTGAAATTCAACATTTGCTATTAAGCTTATTGAGGTTAGGAGGCGGCGTAAGGGACAGTTCGCATCGGCAATCGTTGGATCGCGTTGCAGCTGGTATGGGAACTTTAGATAGACTCTGATCCACAATGTTTTGCAATCATCATTAGCCGGTTGTCAAAAGTTTTAAGTGTATTAGTACCGTTATGTTAAATATATCACGTATCTAGTGTAAATAGTTTGTGTTTTAGATATGGTTTAGAGCGAGACAACCTGTGAACACACCTATTAAAGTGGAAAATAGCATATGAGATTATTGCCACCATAATTATCTAAAAAGGTTTTTTGAGGTTAATGAATGGTAGTTTTTTCAGGAGGTGTCTAGCTGCAGCAGATTATACATATGAGATCTCACTTTAAACGACTCCTCTACAACTCGTCCACCGATAACTTAGGCCAATGCTGCATAGATTTTTGAATAGACGCGGAAAAGTCATTTCACCAAATTGGACACTTATTAAAAAAGTTACCCAGAAAACTTTTTTGTGACTCTAGTCGAACCACGTTTCCATTTACACTTAAGAATATAATTCTCTTGTACAATCCGTCTACGCAATTTTTTCTTGTTTAGTTAGCCTGATCTGATGGACTGGCACATGTTCTTCGTACTGAAGCGAACTCTCAACCCAATGATTGAAACTCATCTAACCCAATCTGAATAGGCGGTAACTTCGGCTTCGACTTAGGAACACTTTCAACACTGGATCGCTTCGGTCTATCCAACGAATTGTACCCGCTGGTGCCCGGTCTGTCAATGGACGACGTTCGCGATTGGTCGCTGCCGGTGGACTTTCTTGACTTTGATTTGGTCGCTACAGATGGCGCTGGTGTCGTGGGTACTTGGGGTGGATCCTCTGGTACTGGGGGTTCCTCTTGCTGCTGGCTCTGGTTCGGTTGCGGGGCTAGGGGCACGTACATAAGGCGACCATACGACAGATAGACTACTTCATCTGCCGGGTAAATGACGTACATGCTCTGATTGGCAGCCACATTGCGAATATCGGCTTAGTCGTGACGCTTGGCGAGTTCGTAATGGTTTCATATGGACTCACTGGTGAGAAAAAGGGGAAGAAGTTAGGAAACTAGCATTCAGGAGCCGCTACCTGCAGAACAAAAGAAAAAAGAAAATTAAGTAAAACATAAACTAACAGAAACTAAATGGTAATAATATTAAAAAGATTCGAACGAAAATATTAATGATTAATAATTGTTCATTTATATTAATTGAGCTGTTCTAATACGCACTGCTATACGAGGTCTATTAATTAAGTTATGAAGTAGGACGCGGCGGGCTGGGCGGGGAGATAGGGGAATATGTGATTCGCCTTCAGTACACGTTTGAATTCGCTCGAGTCCTTTGGTTGTCCGTACCGATTATTTTTGGGAGACAATTTTTTTTGTTGTGTTCTAAAAATGGATCACATCAATTTCGAGCATCTGTGTGCTATGAGGTTTTGCTTCAGACTTGAACACAGTGCAACGGAAACTCTTGCTAAGCTTCAGCAGGCCTACGGATATAAGGCTTTGTCAAGAATTCAGATCTTTCGGTGGTTTAACGTATTTCAGAAGGGAAATACTCGATTGAAGATGAGCCACGATGCGGAGGGCTTTAATGTCTATGAACCGATGAAAATACAGATCGAATCCGGGATGTTGTGCCTTCAGATCGTCGGTCGACAGTCAGAATAATCGGGGAAGAGAAACTTGACTCTCACCACCGTTCATCAGATTAAGAACAACTGGGTGTTGCACAATGTCAAAGTACAATATAGCTGTGACTCCTCAGCGTCACTATTCGCCCAATGTGAGTCCTTGTGGCTATTTTCTTTGCGAAGTTAAAAAATCACCTCATGGGAACTCAAGACAGTCAAAAACATTCAAACGGCTGGAACCGACCAGGTGAAGGGTATTTCAGTATCGGAGTTCCAGCACTGCTATGAGGAGTGGAAGAACCGTCTCCAGCGCTGTGTGGCTTCAGAATGGAGTTATTTTGAGGGTGACAATACAATAGAATTATATTTTAATAAAAAAATAATAAAATCACTTAATTTACAGACCTCGTATTAAGCAACTCGCTGCTCCCGGTTTGAGAATAACTCGTTGTTTGTTGTCATAGTAAAAGTCAGAACACAAAAAGAGTAAGCTAGGTAATAAGAAAATAATAGATAACGGAAATAATGATTAAAATTGCTACTGTAATCTAATCATATTGGCAAATTTCTCCGAAATAATTGTAAAGTTTGGTTTTATTGATGCAAGTGTTGACCTTCTGTCCAACACAAGTGAAACTTCGCTAGGTTGAACTATCCAATTCTCCCTTGGATTTGGCAAAATAAACAGTTCTCACCAAGTTCTGGAAATGTTTCCTTTGACGAAAACTAGAAGTGACTATGTGTCATGGTGCCCCAAGCGTATCTCCTACAGAACGGTCTGCACGACCTTCAAGCTTATAAGCTTAAAATACGTATTTTTCTTTTCGTGACGCTTTCTGACTCGTGCCCTGTATCATGATTTCCTAAACAGTACCTAGAGCAAGAAAATTTGGATTATGACTCAACATTGATTTTAGGCAGAGGAATCGCGAAGAAAAACGTAATGTAAAGTTTTTAGTTGAACTTCGTGTGTACCATACTGTAGCTATCATGGCTTTAGGCGCCATTTCACATGTCACTTCTGTAGTTCATCTATCACCAAACCTTAACAAACTAAACATAGTCACTCATAGTTAACGGCAAAGCTGCATGCACCGCCGTCGTCTCCCACTCCACCTTTCTGGTTTGGGATTGGTTCTGTATATGAGCTCGACTGAGTCTGCCCAATAACAGTTATGCTTCCAGTTTTTTTAAATATATCAACGTGCTGGTCACGCACTGTACACGGCTGGCTATTGCTTTGGTTTAACGTCTTTCGAAGATAGATCGACAATACTTTTTATTAGATCCGGTAATAACGGCGCAGAGGCATACCCAGGAGGTACTTGAAGTACTGAAACTTCAATTTTTGAGATATCTCGAACCGCTTAACAACCTTATTTTCCAACAAGATAATACCTGTCCCCATAACGTTAGAGTGACAACTTCCTCTCCTGTCATCTTAGATAATTAGATCTTCCGCCCATTAAACATGTGTGGGATAAAGTGGGAATAAGAGTGATTAAGCCTAGCAGGTCTTCGGAACCAAAGACGTTTAGCTTGGGATGAGATACCTCAAGAAGTCATAAATCACATTTTCAGAAACACACCTACCTTGGCGACTGAACGAATGTATACGGCTCTATGCCGCATATGGGTGAGCCATATCAAGGACATTCGGCGATAAGACAACGTTTTTATTCCAAAACCTAATCACGACTTCCTCTTGTTTATGACTAACTGTATGGAAACTTTAATTCAAGCAATATGAAATTTAGAGGTTGTTCTGTTTCCTTTATCACTCAGTACGTATACGTACGGACTCGAGTCAATCTACTCGGGCAATCGTACTATTGTACTTGGTACAAGTTACAAAGTAACTTACAGATGAATAAGCTAGTAAGCTGGTAATATAGCTTTCATCCATCCGACCACAGACGAGTAGAACTTATGTACCATACCACCAGGAACGGCGGCTTCTAGCTGCCACAATGGCAACCCAACTGTAGAATGTGAACTGATCTGAAGTTCCAACTGAGAAGCTACTGTTTTGCTTCTGCAGTAGTCGATTCTGGGGATAGATGGCACTTTGAGCTGTCTTATTTTGATAGACCGTATATGCTGAATAGAGGATAGTTGCTCAGATTCCAAAAAACACAAAGCTGCTGTCAATCGACGAAATCTATGTTACTAGTAAAGTCGTTTACTTGAGAAGATGCTGCACTCATTTCTTCCACATGTCTAATTCTACTCTCACTCTGATTCCGCCCCTGACGGAATTCTAGTACGTAAACTGACTGAGATTAACCGTCAATCCTTAAGAGCGATAGGGGTTATTGGATCTTGAAGGAGAGCGAGTGCATGTCCTATCACATTTCCCCAGTTCCCCTGATCCCAGAGCTCGTAAGCCTCCAGACAAGGTATATCATCCCCGGTCCCCGACTACAAGAGATACGTGCTCAGATTTATGGCATTTTAATACAACTTTACCGGGAAAAATTTTATCACCACATTTCTAAGGTATTAGATTAAAATGGCATCGCATGAAGTAAGCACGTGCCCTGTTTCAACAAGGTGTACCTATTTTTAGCTTTCTCATATCGGCATTTTGTCAAATGTTTTGGTGCAATTATTGTAAAGCTGTATGAATTTCATTTTTGAGTGTATAATAATTGAATCAGTCATTTTAGAAACCTCACAAGTCACACAGTTTTCTTGGCTTGATGTGATACTTGGGTTTTAAATGATAGAAATGTCGATTAACCTTCACAGTTCATCAACAACTATTTTGAACACAAAATAAAAAACTATTCTTTGATTATGTTGAATGAAAGGGTCAGTTGTATGAAATTTAGGCAATATAATCATGTTAATCATATTTTTTGTAGCTCATTATTGAAAATTACATTTAAGCGTTAGCTTATTAACATGTCACATGTTTTAAAAAATTAATGTGTTAATATCTTGCAGTAAAATATGTTGGAAGAAATATTAGTTACGTAGTTTCTAAATTACCGATTCGATTCAAAACAACTATGTCAATAAATATATTGTCAAAGAACAACCGAAGCAATATCGAATCAACTGAAACGATGGTAAATTTATATTCCTACGTCTGTGGATTTATTTGGCGGCCAGCCGAGTATAGATACTGATCAACGAGACAGCCACAAGATGAGTTTCAGATTTTTTTTGTATACTCCAACTACCACGAAGACCTAAGGCCTAAGCATCCATTGGGTACCGTGGGGCTATAGGGGGATACATGGGAAAGGGAGAACGCCACACGGATTCTGGCGAGGGAACATGTGTGCATGCATCATGCACACATTCTGGCTCCGCCTACGAGATCCGCCGGGTGGTACCTCCGCGTTCGACAGTCAGAGACCGTCTACCACCTACGGACAATCACAACATCCATAGCAAAGAGAAAAATTTCTCCTGGGACGGGACTCGAACCCGCACAGCGCACGGCGACTGATCGGGAGACCGAAGAGTCTACTACTGCGGCCACCACTGCTGCCTAGATGTTACATTCACTGACTTGTTGCTTCGGAGGATGGTGTGTATTGACTTAAGTGTCTAGAATAAGTAACACAAGTTGGCGTCAACATTGACTCACCCCGGCCTCGGTCAATGTGCTAGTCCAATATATGAATGTGACATAAGAAGTCGTCTTCATCGGAAAGACCTGTTGGAAGAAATAAGCTTCAGTAGGCTTTGAAATGACCGATTCTATTATAGTTTCCAGTGCATATAGTCGAAATCACGAAATATGACGATTACGTCATCATTTTAGTTAGTAGTAAAGATAAACGACAGCGATTTGTCAATATTTTTTATTAAGTTTCAAATATGTTAGACAGAGACAAACAGAATTTAATTGTCTAAACAAACTGTGTTGCTAATTTGCATGTATCCGACAAAGAAAGACGATGTTTTCTTGTTGCGTGATCGATCATATTTGAAAGACGAGTAGTTAGGTTATGTTAAAGCAGGTTGGGTTGTTTTCGAATAATACCTTGGTCTTTAATGTTCCTCTCTTAAGGTGTATTCTGCTCATAACTGTTTTTTCAAAACAAAAACTCCCCGCTAAAATTATTATTGAGGTATCACTTTAAACTATGAAATAAAATGAAAATAAAAATAATCAGTGAAATAACCTAAGTTCGCAAAATCATAATATAAATTCATTGTCAGATTATGTTCCCGACATTGTGATTTTATCATCGACGTACGTGCATTGATAACTTCAGTACAATTTATAGTATGACGTAACAGTCATCTTTCGTGATTTTGACTGTAGTAGAAAATTATTATTTTCCCATGGCACTTAGACCCGTTTTACTATCGACCCATGGAAATCAAAAACGCGCCTATGGCACAAATTTCACCAATGTGAAGGCGTTGTTGAAGTAATGAATAGGGTGGATTTCTTCTAAAACGTTTCTCAAACTAGCCAAAATTTATACGAATTTTGTAAGATGTTCCCCAAATTCCCATACTTGATAAAGAATTACTTCATAAAAAGTATTCTTTCATTTGAGCTGATACAATATCTAGATTGATGTGACAGCAGTTACTGAATATTTTATTGCTTTTATAGCTACAAGAAATCTATTTTTTATAGGTTTGTAACAGGTGACCGAACTAGATCATTGACTTTGTCCTTGATATATAAAATTCTGATAAATAAACTTTTTCAAGACAAAGATAGAATTGCAGAATCCATATTCTTTAACAAACAGTCAATTTTCAATAAATATAGGGTTTAAAAAAATCCCATTTTCTTCCTACTAACAACTTTAATGTTCAACACGTCTCTTCAGCGATTTTTTTTGGCTTAAGCAATACTGCGCGCACCCTCTACTGGACTTTTTGATTATTATGCCCTAGTCCCTAGTCGCAAAGTGTCCGGGCTCAAATAGAGAAAAAATTGGTTGCTGTAGCTGTACCAGGTGATTTATTAAGTTTTTCTTGATTTAATATGATAACTACGGGTTCATCTTGAACAAATTTAGTTTTCTTCTAGTTTAGATGTCGAGAACGTGCAAATCTCATTTTATTTTTAATCTCTCGATTTTGGAAATCTGTAATGCTAACTGCTACAGCCCACTGTGGAATGTAAATGTGAAATACATCATTGTGGGTCCTTTGTGGATGGGTTATTGTCTGTTTAAAATCCAAGGAATGTCTATAAATGTGACCCTTAATGATTTCCTTCCTTTAAAGTTTTTCAGTGTGTCAATTTTTTAAAGACGAATGTGTTATCTCACGTGTATTCTTACAAAATCTATGCTGAAAAAATGCCAAGGAATTCTATTTTGTACCGACTCAATGTATCCCAAGCGTAACACCCCGTAGTAGTGACAGGCGGCTGGTTGTTTCATCAATAGCAAGCAACATGTCGTGGTGAGTACGAACTTAATTCCCAAATATCACTGCTGATCTATTTTCAAAGACTGTTTATTCGGCGGACTAATTTCAGACGCGGAACGTCTATTTCTGATGCGGACTCATGGTTGTATGATTACTCTAGTAGATCAGACACCGTGGTTATACATAGCACCTGTTTCGGTGTTGAGTTAGATATCTATCTGTCTTTCGATCCAGCTATCCGACTATTACAGCCATTAGTTTTGGAATCCGACTGTTTCTACCTGATCGAGCAGAACATATGCTAGGCGTGATGTTATGTTTGAAGTTGAATGTATGCATATACACTATCAGCATACCAAGTGGCATCACTACAAAGCTATTGTGAAATGTCGCATGTTATGTTTTAGGTGGATCTGCTTCTTTTCAGATGTCTCTGAGTGATGTACATCCCCCCTAATTACCAAAATGTTTAACTGTGATGTCTAAATTACTCTCATATTTGCCCATCTGACACAGTCTAAGCGTAAGAAGTAGAAATGTGGAAGCAGCTTTTCACAAGAAGATTGGCTACTTTTGCTATGACTGAATCACACCAGATATGTTTTTCCTACCTGATAATCAAGTAAGCTATGACCATCTAGCAGATGATGATGTCAATTGAAGACATCCCTATAACCTAGCTATCTAAGAGGGCAATAGTAACTCATAAAAATTGCTCGCGAATTATCCGGGATGCGTAACTCATAAGTTGCGGCTGAGCTAAACTTCTTTAAAATGTGTAGTCAGGTGTCACTGACAATGAGCCTGCGTCCCTTCTTGAAATAAGTTATCTGAGCACTTTGCAAGATTTAGTTACCTCACTTGATAAAGATTGTATTTGTATCGACTTTTTATCTAATTCGAATTATTGATCATTTACCGCATTTCTTATTGATCTAAAATTTCTTTGGAGAAGGTTACTACTGTTCTTCTGAAAAATAAGCGTTGGAGGTATTAAAAATTTGCTCAATAGCGACTACGTTGTCTGCAAAATCAAGGATCTCAGAAGATCCCTAAACTTTTTATTAGTTTGTTTTTACTTCATACGCCACCAACTAGAAAGTATCGTGATTGCGAAAAAAATTGGATACGGCATATTATGTCTATAACTTGAGAAGTAACGCTATGATTTTGGTGAAATTTTCACACAAGATTAGGGATGAAGATTTATCGTTTTACAAAGTTGGTCCAAGTCCAAAAAAATGAAAATTTATTAAAAATTCATTTAATAAACATATTCATAGTGACTGAAAATTAGGGGTTTGGGTTGTATGAGGTGAAAGTGAAAGTGTATCTCAGTTTATAGTATATTCATACGTTTCTAGCCCCAACAATTCTACGCATCTATTAAACATTCACATTCATATATATATACAGGGTGGCCCATTCATGTGGGGACGGAATATTACTCATAAACAAATACATTTTGAGAAAATCTATTTACTAAATGTTATACATGACATTTGAGGGTATATTTCTAAAATATTTTTCATTATACAGGGTGTCTCAATTTTGACCTACATATCAAAGTTGTGATTTTTAAAATGGAATGCCTGAAATTTTATTGCATATTTGGATAGGCCAATTCAAAAGACAAAAATTGATATGACATACTATATGGTTATGGTAACTAGCTACTGAGACATAGGGTGTTTTGTCTATAAAAACCCTCCACTTCGGCAACCTCTCAGTCCGCCATTTAGAAATTTGGACTGCTGAATCCTGTAACCAAAATAAACTTACACACCTCAGCTTTTATGTTATTTGTTACGTTTTCGAAACGCAAATTGTAGTTTTTCTCAAAAATTTCAAATCCATCACCCCGTATATTTGTGCAAGTTTGGATAAAATTTTTTATAAGCTTTTTTTGATACTAGACACATAAGGGTTTTTATGGCTATTTTTTCAGTTATTGCACGTCCTTTATGGAACGGCTTAATTCCCTAAAATATCGCTCCATCCTTGGAAACAAATAAGTTGTCGATTAGCTACAAACTGTCAAAATTAGCTTTCTGAGTATTATAATAAAAACGTGTTTGAAATGATTTTTTCTAAAGAAGGAATGGAGAATATGGTGTTCGTTTTGGGCGAAGCCCAAAGAAATAGTTTCCTAGTATCTCTCATTTATAAGCAACGGTACCCTAATATGCGACATCCAAGGCCGGAAGCGTTTTCCACACTACGAGAACGTTTTGAATCAAGTGTAGCACTGGAATATAGTAAAAAATGTATAAATAATACAAGTGTCACCAATGAGGCGAATCAGTTGGAGATTCTATTAAAGTTACAGGAAAATCCCCATTTAAGTGCACGGCAAATTGGAGCAGAAACTGATATATGCAGAACTTCTGTCCAACGGATTATTCTCAAGCGTAGGTACCATCCATATCACCTATGCTTGCGTCAAGGCCTTCGTCCTCAGGATTTCGCAGCTCGAATGGAGCTTAGTAGAATAATGCTGAATAAAGTGAGTGAAGACACTACATATCTGGATAAGGTTATTTTTAGCGATGAGGCAACTTTCAACAGCATGGGTGTTGTCAACAGGCATAACATGCTCTATTATGCGACGGAAAACCATTACTAGGTTAGGCAAATAGATTTCCAGAATAAATGGAGCTTGAATGTCAACAGATTAACAGGTACAGAATACTTAAATGTTTTGATCGAGTATTTGCCTTTGCTTTTGGAGGATGTCAACCTGCAAGCTCAGATGCATATGTACTTCCAACATGACGGCGCACCTGCGCATTATCATAATCGTGTGCGTAACTATTTGGACACCTGGAGTAATAATCGTTGGATCGGTCGTGATGGGCCTATATCTTGGCCTCCTAGATCACCAGATATGACTCCGATGGACCTCTTCGTATGGGGCTACGTTATAGATATTCACCATCTACCCCGGAAAATATGAAGGAAATGATTAAGGATGCTTTTCTGAAAACAAGGGAACACATGCTGAGGGATGTGTAACGGTCATTTATCCAAAGACTACGGCTGTGTATCCAACATGGTGGAGATATTTTCTAGCAGCTTTTGTAGATTAGGTCTTGACTAGTGGTAGTTGTTTATGTTGTTGTTATAGTCGTTTTTCTCTATTACTCTTGAAGCTGATTTATACTGTTCTTATTGCTATTAGTTTTTAAGTCAAATCTGTACTCTTAGGGGCAATATGGAACTAGCCCACTGTTCGTCTTTTGTTTCCATGGATGATGTGATTTTTTTCCTTAATTTTGGTGTGTTGTTCTATTAAAAGCTTAATAATTCAAAATCTAGTGACTTTATCTGAATCAAACTTCATACCAAAAAAAAGCTTACAAAATATTGAATCCAGATTTGCACAAATATACAAGGTGGTGCATTTGAAATTTTTGAGAAAAAGTACAATTCGCGTACCCTGTATGAGCAAAAATGATTATTAAAAAAAGTAACAAATAAAACAAAAGCTGAGGTGTGTAAGTTCTTTTTTGTATAAAATTCATCACTCCAAAGTATAAAATGGCAGATTGAGGGGTTGCCCAAGTGAACGGTTTTTCTGGACAAAACATCTTACATCTCAGTAGCTAATTACCAAAACCCCATAGTATGTTACATCAATCTACTTATTTTGAATTGGTTTATCCAAATATGCAATAAAATTTGAGGCATTTCATTTAAAAAACCACAACTTTGATATGTAGGTCAAAATTGGGACACCCTGTATAATGGCCAATATTTTAGAAACGTGCTCTCAAATGTCATGTATAACATACCATGAATAGATTTTCCCAAGATGTATTTGTTTATGAGTAATATTTCATCCACACATGGATGGGCCACCCTGTATGTCGGGAGCCCCTCCCACTTCAGCTGGCCCACTTCAAGATTTGTACCAAAATATGCCTTTATAAACTAAACATAGCGAAACCATTTTATTCTAAAACAATTTATTTTCTCAAAAACATTTTAGATACACTCTAGTCGTAAAAAGTACATATTTGAAATCAGTTAGACCTATAACTAATAGAACATCTGAACAAATAAACAATGTGCGAATAAGTGCGCGAAGTTAACAAAGCAACAATTGAAAGATTACCATTAGGTAACATCTTTATTTTTTATTACGGCTGAAATTCTTTGGGGCATAGTGTTAACCAAATTTTGGCAAAAATTTGCTGTAAAACAATCGCATATTTCTTGAAGCCTTTGTCTCAGTTCGGTGATTGTACGAGCGGGATGATGTCGTAGAACCTTTTTCATCTTGTGCCACAAAGTTTCAGTAGGTGACAGATCTGGACTGCAAGACATTTCAAAAGTGGTACATTATTTTCTTCCCTCCATTTCATAGCCGTTTTTGAGGTATGGCACGCTGCACCATCTTGCTGAAACACAAAATCTTGGCTTGATGTCAAACATTCTTCCATCACTGGTAAAAGCGATTCTTCTAAAATTGTCAAATATTTGTTTGTATCCACATTTCCATCAATAAAATGAAGTTTTCCTACTCCTTTTGATAACAAACTGCCCCAGACCATAATGGATGCTGGAAATTTCACTTTTCTCTTCAGACAGTCAACATGGAATGTTTCATTTTATTGCGAATAACTCTACTGCGACTGTCACCAACACAAACTTCGAATCGGGTCTCATCACTCCATTATATTGCACACCATTGTTGAGGTGTCCATTGCTATGTTCTTTAGCCCATCTAAGCTGATTTTTCATTTGCAGTGGAGTTAATAGTGGCTTTTCTTTGGCCTATAAACTAGTTGTGCAACTTTAGGGTTTTTACTTCACCTTTTTTATAAGAAAACTTACCTTGCAAGTGCTAAATCCCAGTTTGTGGGCCTCTCTATGAGTTGTGGACCTCGCAATTCTCCTTCCAACAGCGTCACTCTACAGAGCACTTAATTGTAAATAATTGGCACGCCTGTTTTTCACGATTATTCTTCTTAATGCTCTTCGGTCGGCATTTGTGATATTACTTTTTTTCACATATCGTGGCTTAATACTAACTGAACCAGTTACGTTATATCTTCTATCAATATTTCTCACACCGTACTGCGATAAGTCTAACAAAGTTGCAATTTCTGAGTTTGATTTCCCAGAATTTAAAAATTTAATTATCAGTAACCGAATTTTCTCACTAATAACCTTTCCTCTACCCATTTTGAAAACCTTAACTACCCAAAACTATTTTAAACGTATTCTGACAGCTGTCATTAATACAAACAATTGTCATGGTTTTTATTTTTCACAGCCACCTATGCGTTATAGACTTATTTTGCATTGAAATGAAAATAGGTTGATATGCTGTAATTGCAACATGTGTTATTTTTATGCTGCAAATTTGATTAGGGAGTGATAAAGTTGGTGTTTTCTACTATATATTATCAAAACATTCGTTGTTAATATTTTAAACGTATAACACTCTGCTACTTTTTTATTGTTTGTGTTTGATAAGAAAAAACTAAGATTTCAATAGTTGGGAAAACTGAAGTGGGAAGGGGCTCCTATATATATATATATATATATATATATATATATATATATATATATATATATATATACATCCCGCTATCTTTCGGGCGTCCTTTCAAGAAACAATATCTGAGCGTCCACTATAAATTCTGAAGGTATGTGCATTTTATAGGCTGAATATTTTTCAAAATATGACAGCAGTTGGTGTTGAGAAGCAATAGAGTTTTGTTCAGAAACATAGAAAAAATCGTTTTTTACATCACGGACTTCTCAGCTTCCTTTCACTGTAACACTCACTGAGCGTCCCAAATATACGCAAAACTTTTAAATTTCCGAGACTGGGCGTCCTATTTATATATTTTAAATTCACTCTAAGGATTACCTAGCGTCCGGAGACGTTGCCAAATCTGTCAGTAAATATGTTTGTCCAAGTCATCTATTCATTCCAGTAACTATTTTCTCTATGAATGACAGAATGGTAACAACAAGTTCTAGTATAACCATTCTACAAGAGAAATCAGATTGGCATCTGGTTGAGTGTATAAAACAAGGGGATTCAAGAAAAATGGACAGCATAAGAGTGTTTAAATAAAGCCTGCTATACTCCGGAGAAGAAAATACATTCTTAGTACTAATGGACGTCGACAACACAGAAGGATTCTGTGAATGCTTATTCGCTGGTCCAAAGTGTGGGGCCAAGAATCTTAGTGAAAGGGGCCCGTAAAAACAAATTTTTCAAGTCAGCGGGCTAGTGTACCTACAAATAAGTTCAGCGCTCGGTCTGCTGAACTCGATTTCTAGCAGTCAATATCTAAGAAAGGTGTTCAGGAAAAAACGCTTCGCAAGAGCCATATGTGGACTATCAGTAATAACCCCATAAGGAAGAAGACATCGGACACCTAAGAAGAGGTACAAAGGATTTTGTTTTAACTTCAAATCAAATGGACATGAAGCAGGTAAGTGCCCTTGTTGTAATATAAAATTGTAAATAAAAAGTTGTTAATAAAGAATCAGAAAATGTCTTACCAGTAGATGGCGTTTGGAGTTTTATCACATAGCGGTTATCAAAATAAAATTATATGCTTTTTGAAAGCTAATTTTGACAATAAAATGGATCAAAAGAAGAATAAAGTTTTTTTTCTGGGGACACACTGTGTTTCATTTTTTCCTATATTTCCTACGACGTTACATGTGCTTTTAGTATGAAGCCAGGCAAAGCGAAATGAATAACAGATATAACCACATGATAAGTTTTACAAATTACATTATACAAGGGGTAGTGCATTAAGTTTTTATGAATGAAAATGCTGGATGTAGAAAAATACCTTGTTACATAGAATACACTTTATTATTCTTAAATAAGAACAGGCAAAAGTAAGGTGTAGAAAATAGTTATACAACACTTACAAAAATAAAATCAGAATCTGTCCTCATAGGAACCATTGAAAAGTAAAACAAAATTCCTTCATTTGTTATTATATTTATGATACTGGTTTTGGACGAATACTTTAATTTTCGGCCAATCTTTATTCGAGAATATTTCGGTATGGAGCCTTTTCAATTCCTCGCATTCATTTCGTTTCGGTGGTTTTCTGTTTTTTATATGATTTGCAAAAAAATTTAAAACAATTTCGGCAATGTATGGACGCCACGGAGTTAGTGGCGATTTGCTATCTTGCAAGCGTCCGACTTCAACCGAGCGTCCGTATATGGACGCCCGGTTGATTTCCCATAGATTTTGTATCCAAAGTGTGTTTAGAATCGTCCATTAAAATTTTGTACGGGCGCCCGGATAATACCACAACCTGCTTTTTTATATAGTAGTGGTATATTATAAGTTGAACGCTTTCGCCTATAGAGGCGCGTGATACGACTGTTGAATATTTTGGCAAGTATATTATACTTTTAACCTGTCGATTTCTAAGCGTCCACCCTAAATTTCAAATATTGACAACACAGCATTCCCTTTAATTCTATTTTTAGGTTTCTTTCCGACCACCTGCTAATAACCGACTGGCATTATTTGTTCTGCATTCGTTTTTAAGATTTGATTGTGGGTATATTATACTTTTAGCCTATCGATTTCCAAGCGTCCATCCTAAACTCGCTGTGTCTTATGATGCAGTGTTCCATTTAGTTCTATTTCCTATTTCGGGTTTCCTTTCGAACATGTGCTAATTAATTGTTTCTCAATCGGTTTCAAGGTTTTATTGTGGGTAAGTATGAAAATATTTATTTATTGTATATGTAATTAATATTAGTGAAATTCCTAACAAATATTCTCAATATTTCTGTTACTTTTCTGGGATTAACATTCAGATAATGAAACTAACCTCATTTTGTTGGAACGTTTTGCCGTTTCGCGGCAGATTTTTCAGCTATAAAATTTAATATATTTTCTTACGGTTTAGAAACAATTTACAAAAATAAAACGCAAACGTTCTAAAGACCTCAATATACACTTATACTTTAATATATTTATTTATATTGTAAATAATCATATGATTAAATATTAAAAAAGTGTTTTCTAACCGGCTATTTATACATGTCATTACGCAGGCCTAAGGCCTAAACACCGTGGGTGCCGTGAGACTACAGTGGAAAGGGGAAACGTCACACGTACTCTAATGAGGGAGCATGCGTACACATTCAGGCCCCACCTAAGAGAACCGAGGGTGGTGCCTCAACGACGACGATCAATGACCGTCTACCACCTATCAAGATCAGAAGAGTCCACTTGTATTTTAGCTTTCTTCAGCATCAACTTAATCTTGCCTTTCTCGCAGATCATTTCCTCTTTTTATCTGGGAAAAGTTCGAATCCATCATGGCGTGTATCTGAATCTGGTGCTTCGCCCTCTGCTGGACAAGTACCTTTTTTTCACAGCATTCTCGTGGGTGTTCACATTCTTTCTCAACAATTTCTATTATCTCAGAGGTTCCAATTATAACCTCTGGTGTGTTCTTATTTGTCTTAGTGGCTACCTCAACATTATGCTTCGTCCAATTCGTCATAGTATTTATATCTTGAGGAAATAGTGTACAAAGGAGAGATATACCTGTTAAAGTGACAACTGAAACTATGATTGTCACAATGCTAAAGGTTCCGTGTATATTTTCTTGAATCGTTTTTTCTTTGACTTTCTTGCTAGTGAGACATTGCCGTTTGGGTCTACGGCCTAAGCGGTACCTTCAGGTATAGTTATGAAGGGTTTTCAACATCAATGGCCCTGTTTTTGACACTTGATCCATGGAGCTTGTCAGTGTCGGGGAGCTTTGCGAGGCTTCATGGCGGGCACTGTCGGTTTCCTCAATAGCACTCTTAATGTGTTCGAACTAACATCCGAACCACTTTAGTTGATGATTGGTAAACTCATAATAACTTTAAAATGGATAAATACAGAGAATTTTTCAGTACTTTGAAGATATTCACTTTGACATTGACAGTACCAATTCATTCTTGGTTTATTCAGTAAAGGATAGGAAGTCAATAATTAATTTTCTGGGTATGTCATTAATTAGACTGAAAAATGTTCCTAACATTAAAACAAAATGCTGCACGAAAGCTAATTGATCATCAGGATACTAAATTTCACTTCTCAGGTATTAAAAAGTGTAATGCTCGGTCTTATTGATCACATACATCCCCAATTATAAATATTTTTTCGACCGATTGAGCGATATTTAGAAGTCGTGCCGTCAGTTTGAATGCAATGTTTCATAATGTCTCCTTAAAAATATGCTAATGGAAGATAAATACTATAGAATACTATAGAACTGGCCAAACAGAGATTAAAAACTTTTTTGAATAAAGAAAATCCCAATCAAATAACAACGTGTCAAACTACTCTTCCAATTTTATTGATTCTAGCTGTATTCATTGCTTTGGTAATTTCAGATAATATGGACAGAAAAACAAAAATTATGTTGAATGCACTCAATATAAAGGACAGGAGTTGCATTGATTTCCTGAAAGTTCCTAAATATGAACGACTTGGAACCACCCAGAACGAACAAGATTTGTGCATTCAAAGTAAGTTCTGAATAAGTTTTTTCATAAATAAAACCGAGTTATTGTAAGTAGCCGTTGACTGTACAGGGTTACTGATTAGAAATTGTGCACGTCTCTTTTTTCATTGTTTGAAATACAAATTTACATTTTTTACCAATTGCAAGGAAAATAGCGTATTTTTATAAAAATAGCGGACATATAACAAGGTTTCGCAAGAAACTGGGATACAACTATGTTAGGTTTTTTTTGTTTGATTTCGTGACAGATCTTACATACTTTTTGGAACATACTGTTGGTCTATTTGAATTCTTTTTGAATTAAGGGCATTTGAAAGGTGATATTTCTGGGCACTTTGAATCCTCACAACGCCTGAACAGTTTGACTTCGAGCAGAATAACATCCGGTCTAGTTTTTGATAAGCTTTCACCTATAATAATGAGTGAAACAAAAGTAATGATACATACTTCGTTTTATGGCATTTTTATTTTGCTCTAACAATAAGATTGTTGAGGGGTTATGAGGATTTAGAGTACCAAAACTGTTATTTATCAAATGTCGATGATTTAAAAACAATTGAAGATAGACCTGCGGTATGCTTAATGATAAATATTTCAAATTCCTCACATAATCCAAACATTGTGTAATATATAGGCAGTTCCATTGAAAAAATTATTACGGCTTTTTGGGGAATTCTGTATAACACTTTTTCTATCTTTACAAAAATACATTGTTTACTTTTAAAAACAACGGTACATAATTTACTTCTGTGTCTCAAGAAATTTTAGTGAGGTCAAATTATTCATTGACATTCAAGTTTGGAAAATAACTGGAAGTAGTAATTTATGAATTATTTGCGAAACTTTGATTTAATCAATAGCCCTAGAACTCTTTAATTGAAAAGCAAATTTTGTAAAATTGTTGATTAAAATTATATTAAAGAATGAACAGATATATTAAAGAATGAACAAATTGTTTTGGGCAAATAGATAAAGTCACTAAAACTTGGTTCAAGCAATACTTTTGGCTGCAGAAATATCTTGGATAGCCACTGCATTGTCGGTACTGAAAAGACCTAATTTAAAAAAATTATAACATTAAACATTTTACTTCACAGGATCCCAAGAACTATTTGGGAACGTAACAAGTCAAACAAGAACACCTGCTATAAAAATTCAATACTCCAGCATATCCTCCACCGAAAAGGTGTATAACACAAGACTACAGAAGGTTAAAAAAAATCTCTTTGAAGAAGAAATACCTATAAGTCCGCAAGAACACTTTAGAAACCTCCAGTCTGGTGGAATATCACCTACAATTGATGTAGTATCTACTAGTGATGAACATTTTGATGCTCATGGTAGTAGTAGTAGTGAGCATGCTTCAGAAGAAAATGAAGCTTATAGTAGTGGTACTGAATACATTCCAGATACTCCCTCGGTTTCATCAGATTCTGGGAGCGAACCTGGCAACAGTTTTATCCAAAAAGACAACCATTTATGTAATAAACAGGTATATTGTGATGCCAGTTAATTATAAATCTTACAACCCCGTAAGTCACAAATAATATTGATACACCAGGTGCTTTAGAATACTATCTGAAATGAACAAAATATAATTTATAAAGAGCGGTTTTTGTGAGAGGAGCTTAATGCAACATGCCCTGCTACAATTTTGAGTATATTATAGAGAGATCGAAATTTTCATATGTTTGGCGCTATGATCGTTGTTTTGTCCAATAAAATGTGAGTTTTGAAGGTTAAAAAAAGCTATAATAAATGTTTTGTTTCCAGGAAGAAATATCTGATCCATATACTGAAAAAGTTACATTTTCGGGCCGCACTGTTGAACCAATTCTGCCATCAGAAGAAAACCCTTCCAATAATTTTGGGATATATAAACAGGATGGTGAAATGCGCAAGGGAAAGAAAAAGACAGATTTCTGTTTCTTTTGCGAGACTCCAGTGTTAAATTTTGCCAGACATATAACACGCAACCACCCATCAGAAATCGAAGTCCAAGAAATTCTGCTACATCCAACTCGTAGTATAGTAAGAAAACAGCTCTTGGACCGTTTAAGAAAAAAGGGAAACTATATAAATAGTAGTGTCGCGTGTAAGCCAGTCCAAAGTTTGCGCTCAGCAAAAGATCTTTTGCCTTGCGATAATTGCCTTGGTTTTTACTCTAGAAAATTGTTATGGAGGCACAAAATTAAATGTACTGGATCAAAGAGCACACGTGCTCAGGTGTCTGCCCAAAATTTATTGGTATCTAGCTTGAGAATTGATATAAATTTGAAAAAGACGGTTTTTCCCAGGATGAGAGCGGATGAAATATCTCTCGTTGCAAAAAGAGATCCACTTATTTGTGCTTATGGCAAGGTACATGAAAATTCACCGAGAAAAGCATTTCATCAACGTAACATCTAGGAAAATGCGAGAAATTGCTCGATTTTTAATCGAAATAGAAAAAATGGAGCCAAATATTCATTGTCTCTTTGATGCTCTGAAACCTAAATATTTTGATACAATTGTTGCTGCAACAAAAGCAGTGGCAAAATATGACGTAGAAAAGGATAAATTTGAATCACCAACCTACGCTATGAATATGGGCACGAATCTGAAGCAATGTGCGGAGATAGCTATTATATTTGCTCTGAAAAGGAAACAAATCGCCTTAACAGTTTCATCTGCTGAAGCAGAGGCAGATTTAAAAACTTTGATAAAAGTCATTGAGTCACAATGGCAATATGAGATTTCTAGCCAGGCCGCCAGTGATATAAATATTAACAAGTGGAATAAAGTTACCCTAGTGCCACTTGCCAGTGACTTAAAACTGTTAAAGGAATTTTTGATAACGACGGCAAATTCTGCCGCAACTGCACTTCAGAACGACGGCGACGGGGACGTTAGCCAATACGTACTTCTTTTGGAGTCTATATTCTGCCGTGTGATTTTACTTAACCGAAGACGTCCAGGTGAACTGCAAAGACTGACACTGGACAATTATCAAATATTGGAGAAAAGCGATTCCAGCTCAAATTATGAAGAGTTCTCCGAGGTTGTTTCTCCAACTGAACAAATTCTACTCAAAAGATTTAAAAGGATAGTAATAAGAGGTAAAAGGGGACGAGGAGTACCGGTTCTTTTTAGTCCCGACATTCAAGGACACATAAATATTTTAATTAAAATACGCAACAAATTTGTTAGTGAAAAAAACCCATTCCTATTCGGTAATGCTAAATCAAATGAACCTATATGTGGTTATAAGGTTCTGAAGAAATTCGCACTGGCATCTGGGGCAAAGAACCCATCAGCTATTACAGCAACTAGACTCCGGAAGCATTTGGCTACTCTCACACAATTATTTGATATGTCTGAGAATGATTTGGAGCAGCTGGCTAGTTTTATGGGACATACCATTGGCGTACATCGGGAAAACTATCGTTTACCAAATGATGTATACCAAACAGCCAAGATTTCAAAACTTCTGCTTTTAATGGAAAAAGGACAAGCTGCTCAGTTTAAAGGAAAAGCCCTGAATGATATTAATTTAAATTTGGAAGAAGACTTGATGCTTGCTAACGAAGAACAAAGCGAACGTTGTGAATCGCCATCTTTGCATTCCGACGTTCCAGAACCGTACAGTTCAAAAATTCCAGAGAAGAAAAATGAATATCTTCCTAAGAAAAATAAACAAGTACTCATTAAGTGGACCGATGAACAGAAAAAAATTGTTTTAAATTTTTTTGCAAATCATATAAAAAACAGAAAACCACCGAAACGAAATGAATGCGAGGAATTGAAAAGGCTCCATACCGAAATATTCTCGAATAAAGATTGGCCGAAAATTAAAGTATTCGTCCAAAACCAGTATCATAAATATAATAACAAATGAAGGAATTTTGTTTTACTTTTCAATGGTTCCTATGAGGACAGATTCTGATTTTATTTTTGTAAGTGTTGTATAACTATTTTCTACACCTTACTTTTGCCTGTTCTTATTTAAGAATAATAAAGTGTATTCTATGTAACAAGGTATTTTTCTACATCCAGCATTTTCATTCATAAAAACTTAATGCACTACCCCTTGTATAATGTAATTTGTAAAACTTATCATGCGGTTATATCTGTTATTCATTCCGCTTTGCCTGGCTTCATACTAAAAGCACATGTAACGTCGTAGGAAATATAGGAAAAAATGAAACACAGTGTGTCCCCAGAAAAAAAACTTTATTCTTCTTTTGATCCATTTTATTGTCAAAATTAGCTTTCAAAAAGCATATAATTTTATTTTGATAACCGCCATGTGATAAAACTCCAAACGCCATCTACTGGTAAGACATTTTCTGATTCTTTATTAACAACTTTTTATTTACAATTTTATATTACAACAAGGGCACTTACCTGCTTCATGTCCATTTGATTTGAAGTTAAAACAAAATCCTTTGTACCTCTTCTTAGGTGTCCGATGTCTTCTTCCCCCATATTATTACTGATAGTCCACATATGGCTCTTGCGAAACGTTTTTTCCTGAACACCTTTCTTAGATATTGACTGCTAGAAATCGAGTTCAGCAGACCGAGCGCTGAACTTATTTGTAGGTACACTAGCCCGCTGACTTGAAAAATTTGTTTTTACGGGCCCCTTTCACTAAGATTCTTGGCCCCACACTTTGGACCAGCGAATAAGCATTCACAGAATCCTTCTGTGTTGTCGACGTCCATTAGTACTAAGAATGTATTTTCTTCTCCGGAGTATAGCAGGCTTTATTTAAACACTCTTATGCTGTCCATTTTTCTTGAATCCCCTTGTTTTATACACTCAACCAGATGCCAATCTGATTTCTCTTGTAGAATGGTTATACTAGAACTTGTTGTTACCATTCTGTCATTCATAGAGAAAATAGTTACTGGAATGAATAGATGACTTGGACAAACATATTTACTGACAGATTTGGCAACGTCTCCGGACGCTAGGTAATCCTTAGAGTGAAAGGAAGCTGAGAAGTCCGTGATGTAAAAAACGATTTTTTCTATGTTTCTGAACAAAACTCTATTGCTTCTCAACACCAACTGCTGTCATATTTTGAAAAATATTCAGCCTATAAAATGCACATACCTTCAGAATTTATAGTGGACGCTCAGATATTGTTTCTTGAAAGGACGCCCGAAAGATAGCGGGATGTATATATATATGTATATATATATATACTGTATAGTCTAATCATATTAGACGAAAATACCCCTGGTTTGCGAAATAATTGGAAAGTCTGGTTTTATTGCTGCAAGGTGTTCAAGCGGGTATTTAAGACATGGACGCATAAAATGGGTACACCAATTTTTGTGGGGGAAAACTGTTTTTGGGATTCTATCGAAAGTGCTCACAGGAACGGAAAAACTCTTCATTTAAGATTCTTAGGTATTTATGAGACAAGATGAGACCACACGGAAAAAGGTCCGACTAATAGCAAAAATGTTATGGCCGAAAGACGCGGCAAAATGCAGATTTTGGCACTTGTTGGTAATGCGACGACGGTTTCTCGCAGATATTTGAAATTGTCCAAATTCGTCGGATTCGTAGTTCTAAATAACCACAACAAAATTGGAGTAGATTGGTCAAGTACTTTTTGAGAATTTCTAATTGTTTATCCCAAAACAGCTGTTTTCCGGCCATCACTACTAGTTTATTAAGCTATATGCAGGGTTAGTTCAAAGTGCATTTTATAGCAAAATACACTAGTTTATCTTGCCGATATGAATCGCAAACCATACCAGAAGATGAATATTATTTTTATGCAAAAAAGGATGGGTTACGTTTTTCAAAACAAATTCAAACATTTTGTATTTGTGAGTAATTCGCAACAAAAGATGATAGACACATCAGCCTTGTGTCAGAATATGTATAGTAACGCATGTTTTCCGAATACGTAGTGCGTTTGTTCATTTACTCACAGATACTAAATGTTTGAATTTGTTTAGAAGAAAAAAACGTAGACCTTGTTTTTCGCATAAAAATAGCATTTATCTTTCGGAGTGGTTTGTGTTTCATATCGGCAAGGTAAACACGTGTATTTTGCTATCAAATGCTCTTTGAACGAACCCTGTATATTGCTCAATAAACTAGTAGTGATGGCCGGAAAACATATGTTTTGGGATAAACAAATGGAAATTCTCAAAAAACTACTTGACAAATGTAATCCAATTTTGTTGTTGTTATTTAGAAGTATGAATCCTACGGATTTTAATAATTTTAAGTATTTGCGTGAAATTATCGTCGCATTACCACCAAGAGCCAAAACCTGCATTCTTCCTCGTTTTCTCTCTTTTCACGTGTGGTCTCATTTTGTAAAACTCATAAATACCTAGAAATTTTTTATGCGTGCATGTTTTAAATACCCCCTTGAACAACTTGTACCAATAAAACCAGACTTGACAATTATTTCGGTGAAATTTGCTAATATGATTAGACTCGTATGCCTTTTTCTAAATGTTTTCAAGATCGGATATAAAATACATAAAAAATAATCCATGC